GTAGCATGGTAGATGTTTCCTTCATGAGTTACTTCCCCTTAGCCTTGTGTTAATATGAATTATTTTCTGTTAATTTTTTCATTTGCAACATGTCTAAAATATTATGTCTCCTTGTTTATTCCACTTTGACCATTTGACGGAGAGAATTTATATAGGCTTTGCCTGTTATTCAATCCAATTGATTACGACATCTTGTCAATAAAATTTGATGAAATGAAATGGTGTATACAATACCCGTATAGTGAAATGCGGAGAATAACCGAACGATCTATTTGTAAAATACAACCTATGCGTATGTGTTAGCAAAGGACTATATCCACACATACACATGTATGTTACTAGTAGTCAAAAAATGATATGAAACCGATGAAGCGATACGTGCACAACCTACATAATTCACAATATATAATAATTTTAACTCTGAGGAATTATACCTATTTGCATATGGATTGCCTCTTTTGTGTAGAAACATTCTTCATAGAGTGAATTCTGTATTACTTGTTTGTGAACATTGTCTTCGTAGTGAGCCTTTGTGTGGATATTTCCTCCAAATCAGATTTTCATGTTACATTTGTATAGAAATATACTCCTATTGAAACTTTTATTCTATATCTGTGTTGATATTTGCTTTACGTACGACAGCTGTACTTGTTCTGTGTGGATATTTGATTATATCGTTATCGTTACATTTGTTTAGATACTACTTCTGAGTATGGGTGCCATATAAGTTTCGCGTAACATCTACAACCTTCAGTGATTTCTACGCTACTTTTTGTGATATTAACTTCAAAACACGTACGACTTTTATATTTCTTTTGTTTAAAAACTTCCTGTTATTGTGACCTCTGGTTTGCTTATGTGCAATACATTTTTGCAGTTTGACATCTTAGATTCTTTTGTTTAGATATTTACTTACCTGCTATTTTGACATCTCTATTTGTTTTCTTTAGATAGTTACTTGATATTGTGACCTCTCTACTGGCTATTTGTGATATCATCAACCAAGTGCTAAATCTATATATCTTTTGTCTTGACGATCACATCTTAAAGCCGATAAACCTGACAGGAATCCCCATAACAAAACGTATTTCTTTAGAGAAGGAACAATTCGACACTGCAATAGCCTACCATTTCTATGCAATTTCAAATGACCTGCGGACAGCATGGAAAGATATTCCGTAATTCGTAATGTAATTAAAAACCGTTGTATTTTACTGTATTTCTTTTATCCCCCGCTTTCCGAAACAAATCGGGGATATTAAGTGGGACCGTCCGTCTGTCACGTTACAGTTTCCTTCCAATAACTACGCTATAATGGTCTTATTTCAACCAAATTTGGTGTGCACATACATACTAAAATGTTTAAAACTAAGTTTGCTCGTCAATGTGATCGTTTCATCTTTACGTATAACTAATTACACTTATACATTCTGATTGACTAATTGGTTTCCGTGCATTAAGTACTCTAATACTGGTCCTATTTAAACAAAGTTTGGTGTGCTCATACATATTAACATGTTTAAAATCGCTGGTCAATGTTTCCATGAAATAAGTGTGCTTATTATGGTCCTATTTCAACAAAATGTGTTATGCACAAACATATTAACTGGTATTAGACTTTGGCATTTGAAAACATGCTCTATTACAACAACAAATGTCTAAGTGATATTTTTGGCAAAAAAAACAAACTAGCAGAGTTCACCGGTGTGCTTTAATTTTAAGCAGATCACACAAACAAGATGCTATAATTGTATTTATGATCACATAAAGGAGTTTATAGCTTCTGTTTTCATATTTCATGTGCTTACATTCAATGTTTCGGTTGTAAGTGGAAATGTAATCTAATAATAACTGGGTTATCTCACTTGTGACTTCAGTAGTATTATCACGTGACCAAGTTGGAATAAAAAGTCACGTGACGTCAACTGCCATCTTCTGAACTATTCACCTGAGTTTGCTCAGCAGTTTTTCATTGTAAAAGTATAATAAAAGTATTTTGTATTTTATATTTTTTATTTTTTATTTTGCACATAAACTTACAATGACATTGTCAAGTCTCATAATGCCAAGCGATATTTCAGCAGCCGTCATGTTTATTTACATAGGATATTGTAGTTCCGGTCAGTGTTGTATTAATACGCTAAGAATTGTGTCTCGTGCTGCATGGTAATTAAAGTCCCATCAACGACACAGCTTTTAAAGACAATGTCATGCAAATGTAAATATAATAACATGTTTAAGACTAAGTTGCTGGTCAATGTCATCTGTGCAGATTTACTCATAATTAATTTCTCTTAAACATTCTGGTTGCTGAGGATATAATATGTTTATCAAGGTTGGGAATATGGACAAGTGAAGTAATCTTTATACATAATATAACTTTCCCTACTTAATCAAAGGGAGATCATTCTTGTAACATATCCATTTCGTATGTAAACAAAAAGTTTTTAGAGTTTAGAGACCCTAAACTTCTCTCCTGTAATTGATTTCTATATATCAAAGTGTAGAGGACAAATAACTGCACCTTGTCTTATTCCCAGACTAACAAATCTCAGTATATCAACCAGTCGCAATATATGGTATGGTATCAAATGAAATGTTGTATACTAGAAATTGTCCAGTGAAAAATTTCAATGGTGACTTATGTGGGCGGATTGGTCGAGTTAGTGGTTAACACTTCAGCCTTCCAGGCAGGCGGCCGGGGTTTGATACTCAAAGTCGTCGCATGCATGGAATATTCAGAGAAAGGGCTTTTCTCCTACCCACACAACTCCAACGACCGATATGGAGTATAAAATGGTCCGGGGTGGATGTTGCGGTATCTGTGCTGTAGCATTTACGTCAGTCGGCACTATAAATGATGCCATCTCTAGCATACACGCAGGTATACACACATAGGGATATATTAGCCAGGTGTCATAGGACTAGTAGTAAGCGCCTGATAAGGCAGTTCCTGCAAATTCCTCAAAAAACGTATTAATTAATGTATAAACTAATTATATTAATTGTATATCTATGTACTGTACTGTTTTAGAGTGGCTTATTAAATGTTGTGTATCATTATTATCTCTTGTCAGTTATTTCTTATACATATGTACATACTATGTCTATATATTTGACAATACCTCCCCACATCACGTATCTCAACATTCTGTTTCAATAGTCACCCAAAGACACAAAATCAAAACATGTCCTATTTCCAAGGAACATTTCTGTTTTGTCTTCTCTTAATTCTCCATACTTGCATATCATATTTCAAGAAACTCTCAACAATACCACTTCATCTAAAACATGTCTTTAAGGTAGCAGAGTACAGTATAGAAATGGCATGGGCTGAGTTTTACTAAGCAACTTAAGTTACGATTTTACCTTAAGTAACGTTAAATCTCCGTCTTACTAAACTTCGTATCTTAAGTTACGCGTAAAAAACCATCGTAACTTACGATAGCTTAAGGGCTACCCTAACTTACGATTTTGACTTAAGTTATGAACTTTCTTACCTTACGCAAAATTAATCAAGTGGATTTATTTAGCGCTACAGGTTTCTTTGGCGGGTCATCCTTCAGCTTGTGAACGACATCAAAGATATCACTTCATCCCAGCCCATATTAAAGTACTTCCCAAGCTCAACATGATATTGGATGATTTCTTCGCTTTTCTAAAGTACAGTATTAAAACAGACACAATTGCGCTTTTTTTGTCTTTTTTTTTTAAAACGAAAATTGTTACCATAAAAAGTCTCTATCCCTAGCTCCTGTTACAACAATTTTAAAATTTTAAAAAAATGTATCGAGACGTAAAGAGAATAGGAAATGTAGATACTCCGTGTTTGTTTTTAGGGGTCTTTAAACTTATATTTATAATCATCATAAAAATCAAAATCGCTTGTAACATGACGACGATCTAAAACATTGGTCTATGCGACGGACATCTCGTCAACTAGGCCTAATGCGATCAATCTTACACATACAAACATTATGGTACATACTCTACACAGAGGAGAAAAAAACAAGGGATACTTTTGGTTGAAATAAATGAATAAATAAAAGAACAGACTGTAGCAGTACAGTAAAGAAAAACCATAATATTGTTGAGGTTCAAGTAACATCTTCTACACAGCAGGCACAATAATATGGTGGTTTTTTTTTTAAAGATATTACAACTGTGTACGTATTAAGGAGCTATATGGTACACAAACTATACGTGAGAAGGATGGTAAATCGGTTCACATTTTTGATAAATACTTTTCTATATTTCTGGATCCAATTACCTACAAAAAGCACACAAGACTAGCTAGTTTACTTTAATATGATCCATATGATTCAGACAGTACTCACGTCAGTTATCTAGATTTCCATCAAATTGTAGTTACTAAAGTATATGTCAGCAATGTGCGAATCTGCTGACTGGTCAGCAATCAAGAACCGCGGTTAGAATCCTGAGTGTAGTGCATCTCTCAATTAATCAAAGGATGCCACGTGCACAGTCACGTTCAATGAAGCATTGCAAAAAAAAGGTATAATCAGCACTTTTCTAATCGTGATATAAGTACCTGTAACATTGACCTTAAAGGACTTAAAGAAAAAACAATATTGTTGAAATATTCGATTTAAAAAAAAAAAAGTTAAGCCCACATAGTCCACTTCATCATGTATATGCCAATTTTAGTGCTGATTTTTTTTAAAACTTTGATACATGTAAGTACAAAAATATCACACATGGCCACTGGAGATTTAACGCTTAAAGCTGACGAAACGAAACTCCAAACATACGTAGTCCTAATTATTCTGAAGAAAACGGTATATTTGGTTTTTCGATATCTTTCAAAGAACGGCACTGAGTGGGTTTTGAAAATGTGGTGTTTTTCTGGAATCACGTGGAATTTTCCAGAAGATCTGATTATTTCCCCGTAGTCAAGCGCCAATTTGGGCACCCCCTCTAGGCTAGAATTGAGATAAGAGCTTGTTGCGCATGCGTTAAACCAAGAAATGTTCTAGCCACCTATCCGGTTGAACTTGTAGCGGTAAGTTGGATTGAATTTTGACTAGTGCCAGTAATTTCTACCATTTTACGATATCAAAGGCGGTGTTCTAGGTTATGGCTATTTAACAACGATTAATGTCTGCTGATCACAATTATGCATGTAAGATATGACCCAGCGTACAGGTAGATAGCCTACATGTTTGTTGACGTTGTACAGACGCGGAACAGTTCTCGTTGCTTCAATATTTACTTTCGTTATTTTTTGTTTCTACGTTTAATTAAATTAAGATTTCGGTGTGTGAAGCCTGTTAAGTGTTTGTGGTAATCTCTAATCTCTGTGATAATTTGTTTACGTCTAAAAATAGCAATGGTAATCCAGTGGCGGANGGGGGGGGGTTCCATGTTGGAAAAAATTGAGGAAAATGGTGAATTCTCAGGGTGGGTGGGTTTCCTGAAGCCCAAAAAACCCCTCTGGATCCGCCACTGTAATCCCAGCTTGAAGAGACATCACTCTGACAATATAGTATAGAATTTTAATAAACATTTTAAGTGTTATTTCCTAAAAATTGTTGTTTTGGTAGGTATAACCAAAAAATACTACACATATTTACAAAAGATCCATCGTGTTACCATTGAAAAAAACCTTTTAACAAAAATAAAATAAAAAAATAGATTAACTTATTCTTGTGATAAAATATCAATATTCTAATTGATTTCACATATTATTGTTTCATAAGCACTGGTCGAACGGCACTGTATAGATTCCGGAAATAGCGATCACCGAAGCGAGAGCGAAATAAATCACGTCGTTGTACACCTCCAGTCGAGGTAAATTTGGATAATGTTGTATAATTAGTCAAAACGGATGAAGCAGTTATTTTCGCAACTTTTCAACCCGATAAACTGTAATATATATTGATAATCACTTCTTAATCTTACATAATCGATCATTAATCACAAGCGCTGACATCCGAATCGATCTAATTTCTACAATTCTTATAATAAATCTGATAAATTTTGATTGAATTCAGAGACGATGATGAAAAAAGAGTGTGTGAGGAGACATGCAGTCAAAGCAAATTCCGGTTAATGTCTGAAGTTTGAACAACCGTGGCTCTTAATCGACGACTACTGTATGGTAACTTGCTTGTTATGATAAGATTGACAATGATTACTAGTGATTATACTGTCGATTTCCTTGTATAATTATTACATGGTAATAAGTCTCTTCTGATTGTTATTACAGAGGTTTTGCAACCTTACGGGTACTTGTGAGCTACAGTACACGTACAACTATATAAAGGACCGTCCACATGTACGTGTAGCATGTATAGCTGTGACTTTTCAACTTTCTATCGTAATTTGAAAAGGCAAGGCCTAAAAAGAGCGTTGCTTTTGTTGATATCTGATATTTACTGATTTAGGATGAGATGATACTGCTTTCAGAATGAGATAAGAACACTACCTCCAAGAGATTTTAAGATCGGCATAACAATTAAGGGGACACCTGGGCAAATTCGGCCCCTTTTATTTAAGTCCGTTCTGGGAAGTAGGGCAGCACGTCCGTTTTTGAAGAATTATCTAACTTTTCCTGTCAGAAGATCGGATGGCCGGACGAGCCCCGCCATGGGGTAAGTTCGGACAGGCATTCGGGTAAGTTAGCCGTCAAAAACGTAGCAATTCCGTTTACAGAAAGTTAGCATAACGAGAAAGATGATGATTTTCTTTCTAACATCTCAAATGTAACTTTCTCCTTTTATGTAATTTTTATTATATTTTTTCCTCGTCATTTTTATATGATGTACTTTTTTTGCACTCATGTTTATTATATGTGTAACAGTTGAAAGATAAATGCAACGGCCAGATTGGGGTTCGAACCCGGAACCCTCCGAACTCTAGACCGCCACTCTAACCAATTGAGCTACCTGGTCGCAGACGATCGACCCTGAGTCCAGTTCCGCTACTTCCTCCCTCCTTCAACAAAGTCTTCGACCCCGAAGACACACCAAACCCTATACCACCTTCCATGGGTTAAAGGAAAAGAGGAAATGTAACAGCCAGGCCGGGACTTGAACCCGGAACCCTCCGAACTCGAGACGGATGCTCTACTAATTGAGCTAAATGGTCGGCGACGACCGATCCAGTCCAGTTTTATTGCATTCCCCCTCCCTCTTTAAAGTCCCCGCCCCCGAAAAACACAACTATTTACAACCCAGTTTCAGGTATCCCTTTGCTAAGCGTACTCCTAGGCTTGAAACAAGCGTTGGCAAGATTGCCAATTTTGGACAGGAGAACGAGAAAATGTAACGGCCAGACTAGAGTTCGAACGGCATATTTACCGAAAGTCGATCTTAACCCTAAAATATATAAAATTACTCTTAACACTTTAGTTTAGGTCTAAATATAGCTGTAACAAATTCTCAGGTCACTGTTGTGTTCATAACTTTTTTGATATTTTTTTTTAAACAGGGAACAAACATAAAGTGGATAAATTCTTTGTACCCTCACGCTGCAGTTTTTATCGTTTGGTATTATATAATATATTTACATTGGAGACTTATTTCTTCTGGAACTAGAAGAAAATTCTTCGTTTGTGTAACCGTTCTTCCTAAGTTCCGGTGGTCTTGCATGTAATGTTCAATTATTTTACTAAACTCTATAAAGCTTTTTTGGCAGTAACAGCACTCGAAATTATCCATCTGTGTGAGAAAAAACGTGTATTCCACCAACAGGCAAAATGTAATAATGCAATAAACCATACAGTAACATAAAGCCGCAATCGCTATTATAGTCTGATCGCTATTATCCATACAGTAGCATGTCCAAAGGTGCTATTTACAATCATTGTTTATTTTATGTTTAAAAACACAAATGCTTTCGTTAAGGTGTGTTTTGAATTTATAAATCATTGAATTAAGAAAAATACATAAACCATGTGTCAAATGAGATTTGTGATTTAATTATTGACATAATCTGTGAGATTGTCGACCTCGGGCCGTGATAACCGCACTGATTCGTTATATTTTAATGTGCTTTTCAGTTTCATTTCTGGAATATTTCAAGTTCGTAACGCAGGTTGATCTATTAATACACTAATTGTTTTGCATCCACCCTCGTAATGATGATAGTATACCGAAAACATGTCAATGATCACAAGCATGCAGTGGTCTTCAAAAATCTACCTCGCTTCGGAGATCGTTATTTCCGGAACCTATACAGTGCCGTTTGACCACAGTGAAAAGTATATATACAATTTCAAAGTTATTTTTTAATTTAATTATCAGACTAACTGTATAATTTACTCAAGTGAATTAGAAACATAAAATAATTTTATGAAACCATATATATATATCGTAACCGAAGTACATAAAATCTACTCGTCCGAAAGACTAGTTGACAATAAAAATCACTCATCTGTCAGCAAAATCTGCTCCTCAGGACGAGCGGACGAGTGCTTTTGCCGAGCCCTGATTAAGATACTTGCATGCATGTGCATGTAAATTTATAAACTAATGCATCACAATTGCAATTGTAATATAGAAGTGAAAATTGTGTAAAAATGTTTTCTCGTATTTAAAGGGGCATCACGGTGAAGTGTATATTTTTTCTTTTGGTTTCAAATACTACATAAACATATCAAGTGAGTCTCCTTATGGAAAGTAATGATCGGATTTGGCTGATATATATTCATAAAAATGAATAATTTTAAGATAGTCATCGGGATTTCTACCTGTCTGACCAACGTTTTGTCCAGGGATTTCCCTCTGCTAGTACATGTGCATAGCACACCATTTCATTGTAAACAATGTCTAGCCGTGTGAGGAAACCGTTACCGCGTCAGCTACAAAGCGAAAAGTTGCCAAATGGTCAAAAGATAGCACAAGGATTATGTTACGGAATCATTATTCCAGGTGGGAAGTATTCAAAGGAGAAAATAACTGCCCTAGCAGTTAGTACGGTGCATGTATTCTTCCGGATAGCCGGTTAAAGCTGAAATAGAATCGACAGAAATGCTGTTTATGTTATGAATAAATATCTAAAACTATTAACATCGCTAGTATATATCTTCGTCTGAGTTGGAACACAGATGAACTTATTTTGTTATATTTATGGGCGTGTATGGGAGAGATCTATGACAGTAGTTTATGCGAAAGGAANAAACTTATAAATATTTGGGTTTGTGCAATAATAACGGGGAATATATTTGTTACGTAAGGTGGATATAGTTATATTATTACATTCAAATATATAATGAAATTCATCTCCGACACTCACGAAGGGATAGTTTGATTTTGCTATGAGGCCCTCCAAGGGATAACTGTTGTGATAGCCACGGCGTATTCTGTTCTCTCCTCTGTCGGTACTCGGGGTCAAATGAGATACGTGCGCTATTAGTTTTAATATTCCCGGGTTCAGTAAAATGGTATAATTTAATTGTATTGCTGAAGTAAACGTTTTTTTTTATTTATATGCAAGATTTAAATATGTCAAAAACACGGTTCAGGATGAATAACTGAGGAAGGAGAACCTACTTATATAGCACAGACTTAGATTCTAATTCCGTGCCTATAGTAAATAGGATCGCATAACAAAAATGTTTTTTAAATCGTTATGTTTCAACAGTTCATGTTTTCATATGATGTTGACTTAGAATGTATGATCATGCATCAACTTTTTCTCATTAATTTATTCAAAGATTTCAAAAGCTTAGGCAAAGGTTTGACCGAAAGTGGGTTTGTGGGGGAACCAAAAGGTGTAGGGTAAATCACAAATATAATATGATGTTTTTAAAATGAGCTTAACAAACAAAATACACAATTTTTGTTTTTGAATATTAAACAGGCATATATTAAAAAAAAGACAAAATTTCATTCTGCGTGTATTGCGTGATTGTTTATAAAAACGGATGATTAAGTCAGAGGTCATTTTAGGTAACTTTCAAACGACACCCCTCAAACTTGGCAATTTTAAATACCCCTCCATCTTAATTGAATTTAAAGGTGCAGGACACTATTTATACGATATAAATATAATACAATTTAAAAGTTAATATTGTGTATCATACATGTATATATCATATAATATGTGCTCAGCACTTGTGATTGAAGTAAGTTCCAGGCCCTTTGTTGTTTTCTTGCGTATCAAAGTTAACTTACAAATAAAAAATGACGTTTGCCACCACAACTTCAGTAAAAGGATTAATTTAATATATGAAGTTTGTTGGTGTTAATTTAGGCCTCAAGGAAAGTATCTGATTTGATTGAAAAGAAGCCACTTGCTACGAGTGCATGCCATTCAACATTGAATAACTTGCTGAAGTCTTGTCATGTGATGTCGAAATTTCGCACGTGCGTTGTTCTGTTAATGCTTTTGCAGTCTACTATGTCGCTAAACTATTTTATTGTCCGTTCGCAGAGGAGCTGTGTAGGGACAACATTTATTTAAAGGCCCTGGTAGAATCAAGAAAAGCCAGACCTATTGTAATATACATACATATATGACTGGGTTTTAAAATCTCGATTTATATCGGCCCTTTTTCCTGACTTTTTGCTGACTATTCAAAATAAAATCTTTTTGAATGTTCCACGTCCCATTATGAGGACAACTATTAACCAGCAAACCAGCCGTGTCAAAGCGTCACCTTCGCTTCAACCTTAGCCCAAATGTTTTCGTAGTCCCCGTAAACAAAATTGCATGTCGATCTGACTGAATCAGTTACAATGCACACATATGTAAACATTTTTTTAGATTAGTCTTTAGATAAATACGCGTCACGCATCATATAGCATCCGTACGTTGGTGCGGTCTTACTGTTGGTATACCAGTGGGTATTCAGTCTGAACAATGAAAGGATGACAGAAATTATTATATAATAATATAATTGAAAGAAGGTATACAAAATTTAACTGAACGTTTAGATGGCGATAAACCGGTTGGTTAAATGTTGACACTTTCAAAACATGACATTCTTAATTTATTGACAACTTTTCTCTGTTTTCAGAATCGTGGCGGTGCATTTAGACTTTATATGATTGGAAAATACACTAAACGAGCGCCTTGGAGCGGAGTCAGAAAATGGATATATGAGTTTAAAGCTCGCGCTAATCCCATTACCATTGAGTGAGTATTTCTTTTAATCACGATATACCCTGACGCTGCGATGTCACTGTGTGCATGTATCAATAAAGGAAACAGCGTTTCGGTTCACAATACAATGCACCGAAAGTGAGTGGTTATATGAACGTGACCAAAAAATAAAAAACAATCTGGAAGTCATTTTTGGAAGCATGGACGTTTAATCCATAATTACATAAAATATCACAAATATCCATATATCATAATGTTAATTCGTCTTGGCACGTGCAAGTTGTTGTATGCAATGAAGCATGTAGGCGCTTGTCGGAAAGCAAGCGTTCTGAAAATTACTAGCTAAAGGCTAACACTGGTTCGTCGTAGTTTTGATCCTGCTTTTTCTGTTAATCAACGAAAATGTCATTTATCCTCATATAAGTACCTTGTACAGCTATTATGATGTAGACAATCATTATATGACAAATTATCCTGGCTATTATAGAACATAACGTACCTGTATTGGAGTTACCCGGGCAATTGATTGCGGGTGTGATTATACAAAACAGAAAACAAAACACGTTGGTGGGGAGTGGGGGGAATGCACTAGTGTATCCTGATACTTATACTTTCCGCCAATCGCTTAGCTTGGGATGCTGACACCGTGGTCCAAAACAGATATAATTGCTAACCTGCATAGTCTGCTGGATTTCTTTAAATGAAAGTAAACTGCGGAATTAAACGTTGTGTTTCCCCAAGAGAATAGTTCACCAATGATAGGTAACATATCTGATAAATGTGGGCAGTAAAATGGACGGATTTCATGCGACCTGCGTATCGTTAAGCTAACCAGCCTTTGACAAGATTGGCAGCTGGTAATTTTTACCATTGTAGTTTGTAAGCAGTGTTTTGATTGGTCAAATAAGAATATCACTTATATAAAATGAATAATTTTCAATAGTTCACTGGTAACAAGAGATCCAAGAGGAATGTTGGACCCAACCATCATACCATCTTCATTAATTCTATGTCAGTTCGGTCTTTTCTCTTCTTTTCTCTAATCTGTTTGAGTGGGTCAACTTAACAGTAAATGCACATTTAGGTCAAGTTTGAGAAAGATCTCTCCAGTCCTTTCTTAGAACTAGTGATAACAAACATTCACTGTCAAAATCCAAGATGGCCGCCAGTCGACCAGTTTTTTTTATTTGATCAGTCACAAAAGTAAACATGCATAACTAGGGACCAAGAGAAACCTACATATTGAAATTGAGAAAGATCCCTCCAGTACTTTCTGAGAAATAGCGATAAAAACATTCACTGTCAAAATATAAGGTGGCCGCCAGTCGGCCATATTGGTTATCTGATCAGTCATTAAGTTAACATGCACAACTAGGTAACTGCAATGTCCGATCGTCCGGTACTTAAGACTCAAAACAGTCTGCCGTCCGGCCGAGTATCTTGTATACAATACAAAAGTACACCCCACAGCAGACTAAGTGGTTACCTGTACAATGTCGAGATGAGTTGTCTCTCTTTGACTAATTGACAATGTGATTATGATTCATATGAATAAATCGAAATATTTAGTTTTTAATCTTTAATGCATGTTTCAGACAGAATCTACCTCATTTTGTTCGTTAAAGATTCTCCTACTAAACTATTTAGTTGCACCTAGTACATTTCTCCTAAATTGCACCTATTATAAGTTTCTTCTCGTTTATTTCTTCTAAATTACTCCTAGTACATTTCCTAATGACCTCCTAGTACGTTTCTTCTAATACATTTCTCCTAGTTACTCCTTATACTTTAACTGCCGCCTTCTGCCCCTTCTCCATCGCTGCCTGCTTTGCCTGCTCTGCCTCCTCTGCCTGATCCCTTTGAGGTCAAATTGACACTGTGCCTTTGAATCTCCCGGCTTTCAATTTATAGAAAGTGCTAGCCAAAATCATATTGCTTGAAATTATCAACACGAGATATCTCCTGCGTTTTATATATTAAGTGAATAAAGTCCGAGAGACTCGATAAAATACTATGACGATGATTCCCGAGTGTTACCGAAAAGATAAACAAATATAGCTTCCGTAGAAGACGAACCGCTATGTCCGAAACTAACTTTCGACTCTAATGGACTATAAAAGTTCAGACAGTATGATTAAATGGAATACACGTGACAGGTATGATGTTATATCAACAGGCTGAACAATCGTTATGAGTATTAACCTGTGTTTCCCGTAAAAATACATATTACACCTGGTGGTGGACTTGTCGTCTGCTCATACACATTGGTTCAACAATTATAGTTTTCACCTACCATTTAAACACTTGGATCGTTAATTTACAGACTCACAACATAATACTACGATCTTATTTAGTTGGAATACTTGTATTATGATACAATTAGATGAAATATAGCTATAAGAGATCACTTACAGACGAAATTTTCGTTACAAGAAGAGAACAGATTTGGTGTTCATTTCGGACTATGTCAGCTTTCAGCATAGGAATCTTGGTAA